ATGGTCCAGCTTGCACGAATAAGTGTCTATGAGAGGTTAGGCAGAGAGCATTTGGCGCTGTATTTGTAAAATTTAAATAAAGCAAATCAATTACCATTTCTCAAAAAGGAGCCACCGGTTGGAGAAATTTGTGTGGATTTTCTGCGGTATGTACAAGTGGCCTTTATTTTTCTAAGCGATATTTTCTGCTTAGAGTCAAATTCTTTTTTATACAGCTTACCAAAATAAATACTTGTATTTTGCTAAGATCATAATAGCTCATTAGAAGAGGCTGAATTTGGACCCAGACTAAAACCTAACACCACAGGGCTGAGCATGCCTACTTGAACCTATAATGTTGCTAGTTCTCTCTCTCTAGGGAAGGGGAGGACTAGAGGAAAGGATTCAACCTTCTTAATTGTGAACCTCATTAGTGACGGTTGCTAGGCAAAACACACACCTACTTTCAGTGCATATGAAAGAGATAAACAATACGTCATAGACCATAATGACTCTTGTGCTCAGGGCGACCTTTAATTATTATATTTTTGTTCCCTTATACCTTAGTTATTAATGCAGAAAAACAAATTAGTTGTGTGCGTGTGGACTGCAGCAGATTCACAAATTGTTTTCCTTTTTTTGATGTCTAGATTGTATTTCTTTCTGGTAATCATTGCTCGCCACATTCATTTTTTCTGTATGCCCATTGGTAAGTGTCATTCGAAACATAAAATGGCAATGATTGTATTAGCAGCTTAGCGTTCTGTTGTTACTTTAATTAATTTTATTAGTGTAAAAAGCCATGATCCCATCAATGCAGCAGTAGCAGCTCACACAAGGAGCCCTGTGGCAGTGGATGCCCAGGGCTGACCATGCTCAGGGCGCTTCGGTGCCAGTGGTTCTGGCCATTCTAACTCCTTGAGAACTCAGAATGCATTTGATCTCTACACATTTCACTTTAATGAAAACCAGAGTACCTCAGAGCTGTTTTGTATCTATACACTGATGTACTTTGTGGCGAGAACCAATTTAAACAACTATTTTGTACTTCTGGGGAAGTACACAGAGATAGGAGTGCCAGTGCACAAGCACAGCTGCAACAGTGTGTGAGTGGCTCAGAGGCAGGTGGGCTCCAGAAAGACACTCTGGATTTTCAGAGCCACTTCCTATTCTCTTCTTCATCTCAGCCTATCTTCTTTTAGCAGTCCAGGCAAGAAGTCAATCACATTGAGTCAGTCTGAAGAAAAACATTTTATGCTGTTTTTCTCATACAAAAACGCCACTGCTGTAATCTGCAGCAGTAAGGCCCAGCAACAGGAAATTGACCTCACAGTAAATTCTTTGCAGATTTGGTCATGTTTTTACCATACACTTAAACTTGCATACATAACCTGAGACTGTACCTCTGGATCAAGGAATATGACAAGCCAAAATAAAATCAAGTCAAATTAAATAGCAAGAAAAAGCTGCAAGCAAAACCAGACCAAAAAAAAAAAAAAAAAAAAGGAAAAAGAAAAAAAAAAGAAAGAAAAATTGGTTGTGACTGCAAAACTGCAAGTATTATATAAAGAAAGGAGTCAGAAGCAAATTCAGAAGTGACCGTATTCTGGTTGAGAGGGGCTGAGAAATACTAATGGACTTTTTAATGGGTGGTTTGACTGATGAAAGAAGAAATTATGGAAAAATAAATGTAATGGTGTATCAACATAAACAATGGTGGAAAAAAAAAAAAAAAAAAAAAAAAAGAAAAAAAAAAAAAAAAAAAAAAAAAAAAAAAAAAAAAAGCATTGCAAATAAAAAAAAAAGACATGTAAATGTGTGCCTACCATTTTCCAGATAAGAAGGAGCCGTACCTTCTGAGGGGTCAAGGCGGCGAGCCCGCCTTCCATGTTTGGAATTGTTGTGTACAAACATGTTGTCTGAGACAGCCAGAACGTGGCCATCCACATTGACTGTTGTTGATACAACAACCTAAAAAGGAAGAAAGAAAAGGAATTTCAGAAGTCTGCATATTTTCAGGAACTCGGATATATTAATAGATCTTCTGAGACAAAACAACATCACAATCTGTTACTTTTCACTTGAAGCAAAGTGAATGACAACTATGAATACATCTTTGTTTATGTGGCTAACATTGGTGATTTTTAGCTCACAATTGTTTCTCTTCAGAACCTGCTACACTAATTAGAGTTTAATCTCCTATTATGCTAACAAATGAATTCAATTCAGGGAAATATTCTTCTAGCCATTAGTTTCAGAAACACCCCTCTAGCCACTCATTTTAAACGCTGCTGTTTTGATTGATCTGTTGATATATTGATTAGATAGTTTATCTAATTAAAATTTGTTCACTTGAGACTGTCTTCAAATGAAGGGTTGTGAGGATTCCAAATAAAAAAAGCTTAATAAATCAGGAACCATCGTAACTCCCCATTTTTTCTTCAGTAAATGATCTCCAGGTCAGTTTTACAATTACATTTAATGTCTGATAATGAACTTTTTTGCATCTGAAAAGACTGAGTTGAATATGAATAGTGAAAGTGTTTTCAATCCATGAAAAGTATCCCTTCTCAAGTTCATTTGGATGGTGATTGACCCTGGTATGTCAATGGAATTTCCTCCTTTATTTTTGAGTGAAAGGCTCCTATTCTTGTGTCCAGGTTCAGAGTCCGGCCATAGAAGAGATGATGGATAGGGCCTTCTTTGGCTTCCAGCTGCTTCTCAGTAGAAAATGGAAAAGGAACATATGCAAAACACACAACCTTCTCGATAAAAACACCTACACAATGGATTTGTGAAACTCATTCTGGAAATGATATTTCACGACCATAAGCCAAAGAGGAAATTGTGAGATGTGCATGTGTCACGTGGGACATATAGCTTCACAGGTTGGTTGTTATTATCCCAGATAGACTTTTACATCTTATTTAAATGCTCCAGCATGGACCCTATGGTGCGGGTTCCAGATTTGCTAAATACAATAATCACAGTAGCTTTTTCTTTGCGGTTTAGCATTAGTAGAGTCCTCAAGGGCAGTGGCTATGTGAAGCTGTGTTAGGTCGTACCAGCAGCATGGAGATGGTGGCAAAGGCTAGTACAAATTTTAGCTTTTGTCTTCTGCTTATTTTACTTTTGGACACAGCAAAAATGATTTTCAGGATTCTCACACCAGCTCCCATACCCAAACACATAATGAGCAAAAAAAGAGGAAAAAAAAAAAACAATCCTCCATTTCCACAGCGCTAGTCTCAGGCATCAGAAGACAATTCTTATCTGTTTCTGTGTTTTGGATCACCTCTGATCCTGCTTCTTATTCACAACCCATAATTAGCTTTCAGCTATCACAGCACCTTTTCTGTGTACTCTGCCTCCTCTGAGACAGCCATCTGCGTTCTCCTTTCGAACAGCCCGAGGGCAGCTCTCTGCCAGTCTGCTCTGCTCCCCTATCTTTCTCATCCCAGAAGTGGACACTTTCACTCCTGTCGACATCCACTTTGGAGAGTGCTGAGGTTGCACACTCACCGAAGCACAGAGCTACCGCCATGCCACTGGGCTATCGGCTTTCACTTTTAATGAGATTTGCAGACTTTAAAAAATATTGCAAAACATACAGGTGTGAATTTCAGCAAAGACTTCTGGATTTGGTTCCTAGAACACAGTATATTAAGAAGACAGGGAAAGGTGTATATAAAAATGACAACTATTTTTGTTCTGTCATGTATATATAGGTCAGTCACCAAGGGAAAAATACTGTAGTTCAGCAAAAGAAAGTAGACATGCTATGTTTTGTTATATTGGCTTATTCCTGCAACACACCTAAAAAGGTGCTGAGACAGTGAAACCAGTTAAAAATATTGTTCAAGATCTGACATACTGTTAAGTCCAGTTAAACCTTCTGAGAGGCAGGGAGATTAGCTAAAGAGACCCAGGAAAGTCTTTCTAGTGTCTACTGGTTCCACTGTCGACCACAAGATCACTCATGACTGATGCTTCATTTAGTCATCGGTGAGACAAAGAGGGCATTTCCACTCATTCCAGGTTTGACCTTCTGTTCTGTTCAGATGGATCAATATCACCAATGCCACGTGAAGCTGAGATGCATGAAAAATGGAAGCTTGGCTCAATTGTTTTGAAGAAATATTTTTTCCAGCTACAGAGCTTTTCTGTTGGCTGGCTCAAGTGTCCTGGCTTCACCAGTTGGTTGGCTGTGCATGAAAACAGATGTCACATGTTTTGCTATCAAGTTTAACCACAAGTTATTCTTCTCAAAACTAAGAAAGTTTTGAACATCTCAATGCTAGCTCATTATTAGTCCCAAATATGAATCTTTTGGAAATCTTTTTGAAACAAAACACGTATAGTTCCTAGCAAGAATTTCAAGTGACCCCAAATACGGAGGAAATAATTTGTCCACCACATCAGATGTCTTTCTGTAGTGTTATCATTCACCACAAGATAATTCAAAAGCTGTAAGGAGAAAATAAAGTATTAAGCACTTTCTAATACAATTCAGATAAAAATATGTGGGTTATACCACTGCTGCTGGATTTACAAGTTGTAAACGTGAAAGGAAAAACTAGATCCAGACTTTATCAAGTTCCGCTGCTGAATTTCTAACAGCTGTTTACATGGTTTACATATGTAAAATCTCCACAAGTCTCAGTTCATACTACAATGGAGGTGTTGAAAACTATGCTTTCTGAGAAGGTACCCACTTACATCACGATGATCCATAACAGCCCACTGCAGAACTGGACAGGTCCCAGAAACAAGCATTTAAATTAATGGAGAATTTATAAAATAGTCATAGCATTTTGGATACATAAGTATTGAAACTACACTAAGTAGAAGACTGACACTAGATTTTCATTAAACAGAAGTTCAAGAAGTTTGAAATTTAGAGTAAATCCTATATGGTATTTGTAGGAGATATCTGTACCTGGAATCTTCGCATGTCTCGTGGGTTGCCTGCATTCTTCAGACAGTTCTGATTGCACTTGAGGAAAAACTTTAGAAAGAATCTATGAAAACACAAAATTGAAATCTATTAGTTTCATCAAACTGTAAATCCAATTTTAAAAAGTTTAATACAATCTTATGATAGTTATACACAAAAGAATACTGCTAGTAAACTATTACTTTCTTATTAATGTATGTATTTTAAACGGTAAGACCTCTGTCATAAGCAGAACATTATTGCCAGGGAAAGGCAAATTCATATTTTTAATTTTTCAACAACTACAAATACATTGACTCCGGGCCATATTTTAGCTTGGTGTGGGAAAGTTGATTCCAATGATTCATTGACTTCAAAGGCAATGACTAACATCCGATGAAAATTTGTTTCTATTTTTTAAAATGTTTTTTGTACATTAGCAGTAATGACCTCTATCCCCAAAAAAATTCTAAGGTAGCGAAGGATCGGTCTTCCAAAAATCTCTTGGCTTTGCATCTAGCTTGGCAGCCCTAGCTATGCAAAGGGACTTGGTCCAATCCTGCTGACTCCAGTGAGGCTCAGCCATGGATCTGGCCTGAAGAAAGGCCCTGTTTGAGTCATGTTTTTTTTAAAAGGTAGGGAACGTGGAGGATTAGACCCTGTTTTACGACCTCTCCAAGCTGTGCCAGCCTTTAGCTGTTAAAAGTAACTCTACCTGTGCACAGAAATCCAGCTGATTTTTTGCTGTGAGGCAATTAGCAATTATTTAGGACTAAACTGTACCACTGAGGCATCTCCCAGCAAACCATTCTGTAGCAATACTGCCTCGCGGGAACACAGCAAGCACTTATCAGAAGGGGAAAAGCGTGAAAGGGTGCAGACCCGCTGCACTCCTGCACAGGCTGCTGAGTACGTGCTGTGGGGTGGTGGTTCCACTCTCATTCCTTTACTCCTCACTCTCAGAAATCACTTTGAAAAGAAAGCAACAATTTTGTATCCATGCTAAAGCCTGCAAGTGGGCTGAGCCACATTGCGGGAAGTCTCTAATTCCTCTCCTGACATCAGAGGATGTCCACAGCCTAGCACCTCCTCTTCTCTTTTCATGGAGTTCTGATTTCATATATAATAATTATTTAAAAGTACTAAGGGTTTTGGTTTCGGGCTCATGATTGGCACCAAGTAACAAGCAAGGCTCAGGACTCCTTACTCAGAGTTTCTCAGAGGCACCACCCCATTAATTTGTGCTGTCCACCTTTATTTATTTTGAATAGCAAGGTTTGGCAGAGCTTTTATATTTAGTCTATGAGCCATTATTACTTATTCACACCAATCTGTACAAATGACTATCTTAGCTATAAACACTTTGCAGAAATTTTCATGTGCAAATAATATTCCTGGCAGGAGGTATGCCAAGAAATTCTTTCCTTCATCAGTACCCAGTACAGCCCTATTGGAGTTTAGAAGAAATCTCATAACAGTTGTGCCACACCACATGGTCTTGCAAAACTTTGGGGTATCCAGACAGGAACATCACAAATGACTGCCCCATTCTACAGACTGGTGCCTACAATCATGGCTCTTCTTTTTAAGTTAAACCTTGAAAAGGACCCTAATATCAACATGGGGTACTAATGCTGAAGGTATGATCTCCCATATCTAACAGACAAGGGAGATGACTAGTGTTACTTCTATTGAGCATAGATAAGTTAGTGCTGTCAATTCAGCTATCCCAAAATCTGCAAACAGTTTCCAGCTGTTTAGCAGAATGAAAGCTGGAGTTCCATTGTGGCTGACAGAATCTGCTCTCTTGGAGGTTCCCTTGAACTCAGGTTTTCTGCACACCATTGCTGGAATGCCACAAAGAGTTTCAAACATCCCATAAAACTTCATTTGTGTTAGCCACATTTTCATTCTAATTTTATCTGCCGTGGGTTGTTTATTATTTTTTAAAGTTTGTGAGTTCCAGAGACCGACTCATCAACTGAGGACTGCCTAAGCACAACAGCATTTCTGTTCCATCTCTGGTCTTTCTCCCACACCTGTTATGAAGTAGCCCTGATGTTGAGTCTGCCCTACCTTGTGCCAACCACACGCTATGAGAGCCTTCGGCCTCAATGTTCCCAGTGCCACAGCCATGCTGACAAGAAACACCTCAGCTTTTTTTCTGATCTCAGATGTGTGTTGTGAAGCTTTCTGAACTAATGTTTGTGAATCGTACTGAAATTCTTAAATGAACTGTGCATGGAGAATGCTAAGTATTATTCCTACTGGATTTTTTTCTTAAATTGAAGCATTCAAGATGAATTGTTTCTACACAGAGAGCTCACATCCAGTCCAAAAAGGGTCACTAAGCACTCCTTCACTAAACATTACCTGGAACCTGTATTTGTTCAATTATTTGTTGAAAAACAAAACACACTTGGTGGAATTAGATGTTTTTGCCATGAAGAACCTGAGCACTGAGCTAAGCATTGAAGCCACAACACTGGGGTGAACACAAGCAGCATTCACATCCCAGCTCTGTGGATCCCTTGATACCAAGACCTTTTTGTTCTTTGCAATCCATGTTTTCAGCAAATCTGTGGAGCGCAGGTGGTACTGAGACAAGATTTTCAGAGGAAGACTACATAAGTCAAAAATCACGTTCCCAGGCAGAGCATTTCTTATGCTGTCCAGGCAGAGAAAACTGACTTGATTTTTCTTCTCATCTGACAAACAAGAATCAGGAATGGATGATCCCTGCAGAAGAGAGCAGGTACTGTCCTCAGCAGAGCCTGCAGACTCGAGGCAAGAGCTCTGCCACACACTGAGAAGTCAGCAGCTGGATTTGAGCTCAGTTTGGCTGTGTCTCAAACTCGGTTTCTATAATAGAAAGGCAAGCCTTCTAGATTTACCTCTCCATGCTACACTTCCTATTGCATCCACAAGTGTTGTCTTTGCAATAAACACAGGCTTGCAGAATAGTCTTCCTAGGCATACCAATCTGTTCCTAAATCTGTTTCCTGATATGGAAAAAAAATGCAGTCTTAGTGATGCTTCTCTCCTCCAATTTTTTCACATGGCTAGAAAAGGACTGCTACCACCTTAATTAAAATGTATTGCCTACCACAAGACTTCACTATTTTAAGATAAAATTTACATCTTTTATTAACTCACCTCACCTATACACTTAGCTCACAATGCCTCTCAACGCCCATCTGCCATCCGTGTACAGTAAGTCACTTGATATTCCACCCACCAATTTTTCCTAACAACCACTGTGCAATTAAACTCAACACGTTCTGTTGCGAGGTAAATTAGGCACACCTGCGGCCAGACTTCATTTGAACTGCATCAGAAAAGGACCTAACAAGGTGAGAGCGTACCACAAAGTTATAGTCCTGTCAAGCAATTAGGTTTTCACTTCTGGGACATCCGCACAGTGCAATTATGCTACACATTACAACCTGGCTAATCTTCTGAACAAATGTCATGTCTCAGAGAAGCTAGTAAAAGCAGTTCATCTGCAAATGTGTCTGCTCTTAAGCCTCCACCTTATGCACATAACAACCTACAGGAGACTTTTTTTGTGATATGAAAGATCTTTTTTCCATGGGAGATTTTTAAAACCTTGCAAGTGCCTTTTCATCCTTTTCACCTCTTCTTAACCTTTTTGAGAGGAGGTGTTGTAGTAAATAGACTAGAAAGACTTCTGTACTTGAATTTCAACACTGAACAAGCAAGAAAACACTTGATATTACGAGTACAACTGGTGCCTCTGGTTTGCTTTGATTCAAATAACTGTTTGGCTAAAAAAATATTTGTTGCAGAAAACCACCTACTACAAACCATAGAAGCATCATTATTAACGTATAAATCCAAACAGAAATTTCATTTATCAGTTAGAAGCAAATGTTTTGTTCTTTTTGCTTCACGCACTGTGTATGAATGTCCTGGTCTCAGCATCCTAAACCAAAACTGGCACTGACAACACATGAGCACTCAGACCACGGCTAAGGAAGAAAGCTCCAATGCACAGCTATGCAGAGCCTCCAGCCCTTTGTTAGATGAGACCTCCCCAACTTCTGACTCAAAAAGGACTGAAGACACAGCAATCTGTCAGCTTTGCTGTCACAAGTTTTATTCCAATAATTCTGTTTCACTTCTGTCTGTATTTCAGGTACACAGTTTGCGTGTTCAATTAAGCCTTCAGATAATATATGACTATACTTGTTAAGATATGACAAGCTCGCTCTACTTCCATAAGTAAAAAACCTGAGGTTTGTATCCTTATCCGAGATTCCGAAGTTCTCTGGAACAGGAGCTGTCCATAGGGGCACAATGCTGCTCCAGGCTGGGGGCAAGTGAGAGCAGGGGAAGGAAAGACTTTTCAAGTCAGATGGTAATTCTCATCCTTCACTCTATTACCATTTAATTGGCTTTTTCCTAAGAAATATCTGACAACTACTTTGCATATCTCTTTTCTAGAGCCTAGTAAACAAAGGATTTAATACTCTTGTTATGAAAGGAAAAATCTTTCCTCTGTCAGAAAATCTTTGGCTTTAGCACCAATAAACTCTTTATTACTGCTAAACTTGGATTTGCTGCTCGATCGCAAAGAGGCGATAAAAACTCTAACCTGTCATTAGTGCATTATGCTTAATTGTGTACAGTATGTTTCCAGTTGCATCTGTTGGCCCATTATCAAAATGACCATTATGTACACTAATTCCCTGACCCTGTCTTTATTTCCCTAAAGAGTCATAATCTTTCACAGTAGGTATCAGAGTAAATCAAGCTTGAAATATGGGCTTTATTTACTTGTTTCTCCCAGGCAGAGTGGAAGACTGCAGCTAAAGACAAACTGCTGTAGATAAGTAGCAACTAGGTTGCAATATTCTACTTGAAGAAAGGGTGGGAGCTCCTCGGAAACTGTTCAAAAAGGCATCACCCCATTTTCTTTTACATTTGGCTCTGTGTATTTATCAGGGGCAAAATGAGAATAACGAAACTTTAGAATAATGAACTGTAGATCAGCTTCAACAGAAATAAAACAGACGCTTTTTAGTAACATTGGCATTAAGACTACAGGGCTTGATTTTCCAC